AAAAAACAATTAGTCTGTCCATTCAGTCCTAAAAACCACTGAATTGTGCACTTTAAATGGGTGAATGGTATGGGAGGTAGATTATGTCTCAATAAAGGTATTAAAAAAGAAAAAAACCCAACAACTTCAAGGGACCTTACTGTATCCACTCCTGGCAGAAGGCAGTGCCCCAACAGTCCCACTCCCAATAAGAAACTCCAGGACGGACAGATGGAAAAGGTGAAAAGCACATGTGAGAGCTGGGAGGGAGAGTTCAGGGGGCTGCCCTCGTCCAGACCAGCACTCAATTCCTGCCAGAATCCTAACTTCCAGGCAGTGGTACCTAAGGACCACCCAGCACATTCTACAGAGGCATGGCTGAGAAAAGCAAGTGCAACTCAGAGAGAGCCATGCCACCTGGCACACTAGCTTCCTCCCCAGAGAAAATATGCTCCCCCCCGACAGACTTCACAAGCCTTCTGCCCACAGGCCATCCACGCTCCTTTCCCAGGAGAGCATGAGCCAGAGCCTACCCACTGACTGGCTCTTACCGCTCAGACACGGCCTCGGTTTGCTCCTCCTTGCGCTCCATCTCCAGGACCTCCTCCTCCGTGTACTCCAGCTTGGCCCGTTCCTCTGCCAGCTCCCTCTCCACCGCCTGCAGCTGTGCCGTGGTTCTGGCCAGCAGCACCGTCACTGCGTCCTGCAGGAGTAGGGGCACATGAGAACAGCCCAGGCCAGCAGACCCCGTGCACACGGCAGGCATCCATACTGCACAGGTAAGAGGCCACTCTGCTGTCCTTCTGTGAGAAGAAACCCCACCGCGTTTGTGGCACAGACATTCACGTGGCCTTTTCCTGTAGCTCTGAGGGCTCATATGTAAAAGTAGCCAGTGTACCACCCGTGACCATGAACACATTTGCATTAACAAAAAACATTCTCCTGCAATAGCCATATGGAAACTCGACTTCTTTACCCCATGACACTGACTTTACATCATGATTTCCACAAGACAAAGCCAGTCACAGGGTTATGAAAGCAGCGGCAATCAGCTCCTTAGAGCAGGGCCAAGTACCGTCTTGCCGGAGATGGAGACGATGCGTGCGGGCTCCCGGGCGGAGCTCTCTCCCACACATCCAGGCTCCTGGGTCCTCGGTGGCTCGGAGCTGGTGAACACCTGGACGGAGTGCCAGCGCAGCTGCATCTCAGTCAAACTGTCATAGTCAGCCAGGTTAATCTGAGCAATGCCCTGCAGGAGTGTTAAAGAAAATGCCAGAACATGCACTGAATGCTTTTGTCATAATGACTAGAGTCCTTTAAAATATCCAGTTCAGGAGGTAAGGTGGCTCATGCCTGTAATACCAGCACTTTGGGAGGCTGAGATGGGAGGACTGCTTGAGCCTAGGAGTTTGACACCAGCCTGGGCAACAGAGCTCTGCCTCTACAAAAAGAAATTAAAAATTAGCCGGGCATGATGATGTACAGCTGTGGTCCCAGCAACTCAGGAGGCTGTGATAAGCCAAAATCACACCACTGCATTCCAGCCTGGGCAACAGAGTGAGACCCTGCCTCAAAAAAATTGAGTTCACCCTTCAGTCTTTTTTTTTTTTTTTTTTGTGAGACAAAGTCTCACTCTGTTGTCCAGGATGGAGTGCAGTGGCACGATTTCAGCTCACTGCAACCTCGACCTCCTGAGTTCAAGAGATTCTCACGCCTCAGCCTCCTAAGTAACTGGGATTATAGATGTACACCACCACGTGTGGCTAATTTTTGTATTTTTAGTAGAGACAGGGTTTGGCCAGGCTGGTCTCAAACTCCTGACCTCAGGTGATCCACCTGCCTTGGCCTCCCAAAGTGCTAGGATTACAGGCGTGAGCCACAACACCCAGCCTACCCTTCAATCTTAACCAAAAAACACATAAAAGATTTCATTCCTATGTAAAGCACTGCAGCACAATGACAGCAGCTGCAGAGCAGCCTAATAGGTGGCTCCATGATCACCTGTTCCACCCAATCAGAAAGTGCTGGAAAGGAACAGACAGGGCAAAGACTGGGCATCTTGGAGTGCTGGCCCAGACTCACAGCTCTACTGCCCCACTGAGCCAGATTCTGTCAGAAATCTCTGCAATTGGAAGAGACTGTTGAACTCTACACTCCTTAATTGTGCCCCTGAGGGGACAGGACCAAGGGAGAACACTCCAGCCACGGAAGGAATCCACCCTGGCTTCAAAACTGGGATGCACCCCGATGGCCGGGATACTGAGGACAAACTGTGGATTCCCCTAAGGCCTTGCCCCAGAGTTGCCAGGTAAAATGCAGGGCACCCAGGCGAATCTGCACTTCAAATAAACAACACAGGGTTTCCCTTCAAGTCTTAAACACTGTATGGGGCACACTCACGCTTTAAAGAGCACGTATCATTTATGTGAAATTCGAATGTAGCTGACTGTCTTGTATTTTTATTTGTGAAATCTGTCAACCCTATTTTGCTCCCTGGACTGAAGATTAGGCTGCCATGGAGGCATCTTATGGGTTTGCGAGTACTAGTTGAAAGAACACATTTAAAGTACAAGACGCTTGATGAGATCACTGTTTGGATTATCCCCGTTTGTATTTCCAGCCAGAGACCCCTTAACATGTCCGCAGCTTGTAAACAAGCCACCACAGGAGAAAGGAAGGCTGGCAGAGGGGAAGGGAGGGAAGGAACAAGAGACGGAGGCAGGAGAGAGAGAGGGAGGCCAGAAAGCAAAGATACACAAAAACGAAGAAATTATGACAAGAGTAAAAGATAAAAAAGGGAAAGAAAGACATACACAATAAAGGCTGACTGACTGAAACCCAGAGGAAGGAAGGAGGCCGGGGACGGGTGGAGCGCTGGGCGCCATACCAGCAGTTCTTCCTGCAGCTGCTGGGTCACTGAACACACGTATAGCTGAAGCGACTTCAATGTCAATGTGCTGGAATGCACGGGGATCCTGAACACTTCATTAAACACCAGCGGCACCTGGAATTCCATAGCCTTGGAGCAGTAAGTGCTGGGCGTGCCTGAGTCCAGTGGGGGCAAGTAGACGCGGATGTGGCTGCAACCAGAATGGGGAATGGAAGAGCACGTGCAGGTGGCGCTCACCAGAGCAGGCCCAACCTACACAATGCGTGCAGGCCCTCCCCCGGCCCATGCAGCCCACTTTGGGCGCCTGTGGCTAGAGTTGCAGAGTCCTTTGCAAAAAGTTCCTTTCTCAGCTAAGCAGAGACCGATGTGCCCCAGGATGGGGGAAGTCACCCACAAGGAGGAGGACTTCCAAGCCTGGGCTGAAGACAGTGGACACTTCCACGCCCTGCTGCTCCCCCATCGTTTTCAGAATCACCCCTCAGCTCTCTCTGCATGGCTCCCCCACCACCTTCTCAGCCCATCACCCATTGGACAACCCTGTGTTTCCCTCCCTCTCTGCCCCTAGTCCAGCACATGGGAATGGCTGAGCACTCTGTGAGTGCTGCAGAGGTCATCAGGGTAGCCAAACCCCAACTGCTCACACTCAGGGGTAACTGAGGCATTTAGAAGACTGACCAAACGGGGCCCACCCTGTGACTTGAACGGACCATTACAGGCGTGGTCACCTGCTTGGGTAAGTGGGACCCTCCATCGGGCCCGCATCTGGGGCCACAGAGCTCAGAGAGGCCACAGTCCCATGACTGGGCCAAAGTCACCAGGTGCTCCCAATGCCTATTTCCTTCTCCCTGTTCAGCCGAGTCCCTGGTCCCAGCCAGAGGTCCCCCAAGATCACAGAGGAGAGCACGACAGCATCAGCAACTCCCATCCCGAGGAACAGGAAGATGCGTTCAGCGCAGTCCTGCACGCCATAGGCAGGTGCTTCCTCTGCACTGACATGGCACAAACTAGCCTGGCACCGGCACCTGCACCAGCCTCAAACTATTCACTAGACTCTCTTTAAGACTTTACACCTCAGACAGACACTCCCTGGTGCTTTCCTGGAAACTCGGGCTCCCAAACTGTCTTTTCCTCCCCAGCCGTGTGGCTGTCTGTTCAGCACCCTGGAGCCTGGCTTACACTTTGCAGTCTTCCTTCACCGCCAGCCCCGCAGGATTCTTCAGCTGCAGCACGTGCACCAGGAGACACTCGCTGCTGCTGTCGCACCTAGAAAACCAGACGCAAGTCACGGACGGCAGGTGCCCATGGGAAAACCATCCTTTCAACTCAACTGCAGCAGCAGCCATCCGCCAACTGGGATTCTGCTCCCGACCCATCCCCAGGGGACATCTGCAATGTCACAACTGTGGGGAGGAGGTGGCACCTAGTGGGTGAAGCCCAGGTACAGCACAGTCCCCATAACAAAGAATGACCAAATGCCCACTGTGATGGGTGGAGGCGCCCTGGACTTCAGTGACAAGCGTGAGCAAAGGAAACAGCTGAGACCCCAACACCCTGTCTCCCTCGGGGGGGGGGGGGGCTCACAGTCTGCCTTTACTGACACTGTAATCAGAAACCAAAAATTGCTGTGCTGCCAACCAGCTGGTTACCTTCTTGGGGGTGAGAGAGGGAGCCCGCTACCTGTGCTGCAATGAGCAGAATGAACTCCCGGCAGACACAGGCACAACTGTCCCGGAGAGCTGCACTCTGCTGGGGCCCCCAGCTCCAGGAAGTGGTGGCTCCCAGTTGTGAACCTCCATACTGGAAGATGGCAGTGGAGCCACTTTGCCTGTCACTCTTTCCTGCCACCTCTGTCCCCTCACCTGAGACCTCAGGTCACAAGGGTCCCTCCAGCCCTGTGTGTGCAGGTGGGAGCTACGGGGTGGGCCCCGTCTCCAGCCCAGCCTGAAGGGCAACAGGGTAGGGTCTGTACTCACAGGAGTCCCACGTGGATCTGGGGGTCTCCATTACTGGCCGTGTCTGCGTAGGCAGGCTCCTCAGCATCTTCGTTCCTGATCACAGGGGGAAATGCAACCAACTTCATTCCAGAGGCAACCAATCGCTGCAAAATCTGCAGAAGCTCCCTCATGCTAAGAGAGGACTTTATTAGGTTGTGATGTAAGTGAATGAGTTCATAACGTGTCTGAAAGAACAGGGCAGGCACCCAAAATCCATGAGGCATCTCACTGGGTACCCACCTACAAACTGCTGGGGCTTTTTTTGTTTTGTTTTGTTTTTGAGATGGAGTCTGGCTCTGTTGCCCAGGCAGGAGTACAGTGGTGAAATCTCGGCTCACTGTAGACTCCACCTCTGGGGTTCAAGTGATTCTCCTGCCTCAGCCTCCCAAGTAGCTGGAATTACACCATGCCCTGCTGATTTTTGCATATTTAGTAGAAACAGGGTTTCACCATGTTGGCCAGGCTGGTCTCGAACTCCTGACCTCAGGTGATCCACCCGCCTTGGCCTCCCAAATTGCTGGTATTACAGGCGTGAGCCACCGCACTCAGCCTATTTTTTTATGTTGTTCTTGTTTTAGGAAAATAATTTTGTGGCTGGGCACAATGGCTCACACCTATAATCCCAGCACTTTGGAAGGCTAAGACGGGTGGATCACTTGAAGCCAGGACTTAAACACTAGCCCATTCAACATGGTGAAACCCTGCCTCTATTAAAAATACAAACAAAATTAGCCAGGTATGGCAGAGCACATCTATAATCCCAACAGTCTGGGAGACAGAGGCGGGCTGATCACTTGAGCCCACAAGTTCAAGACGAGCCTGGGCAACATGATGAAACCCCATCTCTACTAAAAATATAAAAATTAGCCAGGCAGGCCGGGCGCGGTGGCTCAAGCCTGTAATCCCAGCACTTTGGGAGGCCGAGGCGGGTGGATCACG